ATTTTCATTAAATTTCCTTTACGAGGAACAAAAATGATTCCCACGTACATCTGACACGTCGATAAACCGATGTGCTTATCTATCTCCCCCTGTGATTCCCTGCTCTGTTTTTTAAAACGAAAAGTTCTGCCCAAGAGCCGCAAACATGAATTCGCAGTGCCTATACTATTATCGACAGGCGTGAAACTCGCGTTAAAACTTCTCGAGCGTCGACATGTATATAAAACTGCTGATATTTTACATGCATGTGCATCGCAGGGACTGAAGAGAAAGTACGATGTCAAGGTGAATGTAGTTTCTTTCCCTTTCCCCTTGATCCATGCACGCATCCATCACTCATCCACCGTATCAACGCAATTTGCGACTTTGCAAATCACCAACTTCCGTATATATGATTGTACGGCCCCCATCCCAAAGTAAGAAGGAACCAACCACCCGACATCACGTCCGCTGGCACAATACGCCCCGGTGTCGTCTCCAAGAGAGCCGCCGGAAAATACTCCACCAGCATCGCCGTCGTCGGAGCGATTTGGCCCCGCGCCAAGAAATCAGTAAACTCCCGCGTACTAGGCAGGTGTATACTATACCTACCCGCCGTACACACCTAGCGGGCTAATCCCGCGTGAAGGTGCACGGGGTCGCGCGCGATCGTTAGCTATACGGGTGCAGTGTGTGCACATGTGCCCGTGACTCGGCCATTTCTCACTCGAACTGCTGTAACGACCCATTCCATCTTCCGTGTCCGTATTTTACCGAGGCGCGGATTCCTGCGGACGGAATTTTAGCTCCTCTCCTTTTGGCGCGAACCGCGGTTGGTCTCCGGGAGGTTGGTTATGGATTATCGGCAATTAGGGCCTGGCTTCCAGTTCCCCGGGGGTGCACGTAGATAAGTTTTGGATCTTCGGGAAGCAGATTCAGCGTGCTTTTACGGCCACTTTCGGGGGTTCAAAAAAAAAATGATAAGTATCCGAACGATACAACCTTGGTTCCTCCTTCCAGATTACCGGTAACGATGAACGCGAGGGAAATGGCCTTTCCCCCGCCTCCCTCGTCGATTGCTCGGCAAACTTTATATCGCACCCGCCACCAAACTTCCTCCCCCTGCGTCCTCGGCGCGTGTGCCTACCGAGATAAATGTATCCATCGGCCTTCGTGTGCACACACGTCGGGATCTCGGGTTTCCCGGGGCAAAAAGAGCGATGGCCAATTCGAGGATCGCCTCGCCTCTGCTCCTCGTAAGGTATGCCCGTCACGTAACTCTCTGGTAAAAGTAATTTTTGCCCCCCCTTCCGACTATCTGTCTGTCTGTTGCGCTTGATCCCTTCTTTTCCCTCCCCCCGTATCGTCTTGTATACGCGTACATACGATGTGTATAGGTGTGCGGATCTTTTTGTGCGAAGCCGGCTTTTTCTCTTTCGCTCTATACATACCCGAGTAAATGGCTACAAGGAAAAAAAAAAAAAAAAGCTCTTTGCACCGCCTGTACACCGAGATCGTCCGTCCGTAGGTCTTATGGCGAACGAAGCGACAATGCGTAACAATATTGATTTGGAGCTGGAAAATATACCTAAGCTCTTTGAGCAAGTGAGTTGGTTATTTGGTGCCTGTGGCGTTGACGACAGTGGAGGTAGAATGTATTTTAATTAATTTTTTTTTTTGGAAAAATTGTCAGTTTCCTTTTCCGCCTAGTGCCAAGCGTGACTCGACTGCCAACAAAAAGCTTACTGTCAATCAACGTGGATCATATAAGCTCGGCACCTCAACTTTCGACGCCTCCATTGTATTTTTGGTCATTATTATAGATAAGCATCGAAGCGCTTACCACCGCGTATAGGAATAAAAACGCTTCGTCAATATCAAGTAGTACAAGTCACGCTGTGGTCAGACATCCCATAGTGCTCGTCTGTATCGCCGTATCTACCCTAAGCATCGCAAAGTACGGTCGATGACGCGTATCTTTCAATATCTTTTAGGCTCGAAAGTACTTATCACCGACTTACCCCGTTTGAACCTCAATTTTGCATCCTTCACCCTCTCGTGTTCTCTACTTCGTCTCCGCGCACTTTACGATCAAGCCATACAAGACGGAAGCTTTGACGCTGCCTCGTAAATCCGTCCCCGCCGTGGATCCTGCTTTAGCATTAATAAGCGAGTGATGGTGTAGTGATTGGTGAAGTTTGAGTCTTGGTTAATTACAGCCTCTTTGAGCTAGCCCATGGACGTGCCTGTCGTACGAGCAATGACGAAATTTTCTAAAAATACGAGGACTTGAAATTCAAAGGGACCTTTAACATCCGTGTACTCGTTGGACAAAAAAAAATGTGCCTCAATTTCTCATTTACATGAGAACAAACGACAGAGCGCATCCTTTCACTCACTTCAAAATCAAAACCATCCTCTCCAAACGAGTAATCTCGGATTTTCGCTTGAACCCAAACGCAGCGTACTTGAGCTTTTCGTTTTTTCTTGCAAAAAAAAAAAAAAAAAAAAAAAACAGCAAGTAGCTCAAGAAGCAAAACTCCCGACGCAGAAGCGGAAAAAGAGAGAGCGAGGGAGTGCACGCGTACCCATATACTCGACGGCAAGGGCCACCCGGTGGTATAGAAATCAACGACGGAGGAGCAGGAGGAGGCAGAACTTGGAAGTTTGCTCGGTGGGGCCAAAAGAGAGGTGGAGCAGGTTTAACGCGCTACCAACTCCGACCGGGAGAGTCTCTTATTAAAAGCACCACTCGCCGGGAGACCGTAAATTTTCCGAATTGCCGTCTCTTTTGAGCTCCCTTTCTCCGTGTACGCGCACTGGGCCACGGACTCCTCGTCTCGAGTGCCGGTTTTTTGTTGCGCGCTCTTAGGAATTGATACATGCTTTTTGTGGAAAAAGAAAAAAATGATAGCCTTCGGTTGATCTCTTGTGTTTGATCTGAAATCGAATTAAAGTTCCGAAGGCTATCTCTGGTGGTCGGTACAAACTTCCGCCCGAGAGTATCTTTTCCAAGTATCTCGGCCGATGGACTGGAATTAAAAAACGGGAGGGGGAGGAGGGTCCCCTTCTCCCGCACATATCGCCCGGAAAGCTAACTCGATTGCTCCTTCCTATTCTCGGAGGTAAGGTTCGCGCATCGGAATCCGATGCACGCGCGGAAAGTTAAATAAGCCGCGGGGCGCGACGGAGGATCATCGCGGTAGACAAAATACGGCGTAGGAAGACGTTTGCGTCAACGTCAACGAAACTTTGGCGGAGAAATAAACTTCGCGGACGCGATACGTCTGCGTAACTCGTGTAGCCGAGCGTTAGCCGCGTGTTTCGGAGTGCGTGTAGGGGTGTGGGGTGGATAGAGCGAAATAACAAGTTTTCGAATGTAAACACCGTATATCCACGCGTGACGTGAATTCGCGGCTGCTTATTCGATGTGGTTCCTTCGCCTGGGGATTGATACGAGGGGAGGGGTCGTGCCAGTGCTTGTTTGTATTTCAAACGCGTCCTCCGATCCTTTGGCTATATGCATCGATGTTTTTGACGTCAATTATGCATCCTCGAGAAGTTTCATACTTGACTTCCTGAACAGTGACTCAAGTAAATTTTTTACTCTAATCGATGCTTATCGTATAAAATCAATCTTAAGATTAGGTTGTTCCGTGAGTAATTGAAAGACTCTGACGTTTCATCCCAGCTTGGACTATTTTGACAATTATTTTCTGGTAGATGGTAAAAAATTCTTCATTTTAATTTCCAAATTTAAGGCCAGATAGGATCAAACATCTCTGAGCGTTTTTTTTTTTTTTTTTTGTTTTGTCAAAAGGAATCCCCTCGCAAATTCACTTTTTAGGCTGTAACTTCCTGGTATATGGCTGGAACGTGGTCGGAATGCGCGCGTTTTCTCCCTCCTTAAATCTTCTATTTGGAAATTCAAGGTAACTTGGCGTCGGGATGGGGCCACAAAATTTTATACGTCCTACAAATGGCATTTCAAACCAAAATTCGGAAATTTTCTTGCGTAACTGCCCCTTCTTTACGTACAGGAATCTTGAAATATGCAATAAGAGCGTGAGTGGACGCTCTATCTATTTTTTCTCCCTTTTCTCTGAAAAATTCTTTCAAATCTTTGGAATACTCTGTCGTGCCATCTATAGCTGGGGCTCTAGTATACCCTACAGGAATTTCTTCAACACAACGAAATATATGAAAATACTTATAAACAAGTCGACGTATCAAACAAAAAATTGAGAACATTTACAATAAATTTTTCAACACTAATTATTCTCGATCAAGAATGTAAAATCTGCACAAGTACGAGCGTGCGTGTTGTGCATTAAACATACCATTCTAGGGGGGGGAGTTATATAATATGTACCTCGTGCGTCGTATTACCCTGAGCCATCCTCCTTGACGAGTAGGTGAGCTCTTTCAAACTTTTTTTCGGCCCCTCCCCGATGTCCCATTACCCAGCGCCAGGAAAAGTCACCCTCCTTGATATTCCTTCATCTCGCGCGCGCACACGCTCTTTCCTCCTTTCTGGCGTATACTCCGTCTCAATGGGGGCGCGGATTATTATTTCTTCCCGTTTTTTTTTTTTTTTTTTCGAGGGACACCGTCTGTTGTTTGTTTGCTGAGCCGCTCGATATTGCAGCCTACTTTCCTACCTCCCTCGTTTTTTCAATGCTACTCCTCTCTCGACGCTGCTGGTGTAGGTGTGTACGTAAATGGGGGGTCGCGGTGATTGATGCGCGATACATGTTTTGGGTCGGTTATGTGGGTCGTTTTCTCCGTTTGGGAAGGATGAATTATTGAATATGTGCTCTAGTGATACGCGCCGCTATTCATTATGCCAGTGCTGTAAAAGTGATAAATCCATCGTGTGCCTTAATCAATTTGAGATAAGTTTTTGCAGGTCTTTTTGGGACTTTACACCAACTTCTCGACCATGTACCATTTAAGATGTTATTGAACCGAGGAAAAAAGTATTTCTCGATTAAAACCTTAGATTTTCCAATCTGTTGCAGAAAAAGAACGAAATGTAGGCGCTTCGGCGAGCAGCAGCGAGCCGTCCCAGTCATCGACAGCCGGTCCAGCGGTGGCTGCTGGCTCTCCCGGCAAAAGTGCGGCTGGTACCGCTGCCACCAGCCCGGGAGCGAGTAGCGTCACTGGTGCCTCCCTTTCGGACGCCGCCACTGCGCCCCTGACGCCTCTCGACAGGCAACTGCTTCAGGTAATTTTGACGCTTTTGTGCAATAATCCTTTCTTTCATTCGTTTTTTTTTTTTTTTTTGTAACGTTGCTCATGTATAACTCGATCGATTTTAGTGTTGGTACTTTGTTGTCGTTTTGGGGTGAGAGTAAAATATGACAGAAACAATTGAATTACCTCATAAATAAGTACAATGAGAGTGAAACAACTGTTGTAGAAAATTGTAATATTTAGTGAACCTCTATTTTGTCAAATGACAAAAAGCAGTTGCTTAATTTTCATATCCATTTAGTTCGAGCCCCCAAAATTGATTGCATTGTTTTCTTACAACGAGGGACATAATTAATATAAATTTTATTAATATTGGTTAAGAATTAGTTGAATAAATGTCATTAACACAGGTAAATTTCATACGAGGGCATGTCTGACTATTCGTACTCTTTTCTACTGAAATCAGTTTGATCCATAATCACGAGAGAATCAAACATTGCGTTTTTTTTTCTTTTAGCTTTAAAATCGTGAAAGAGTTTTTCATATTTTACAAGCTTTCTTTACATTCAAAAGTATAAATGGCAAATGTTTAGCTTAGAGTACATCAACTGTGAAATATAAATCACAGTCTGGCCAAAAGATGCCTCATTTGAGAGAAAAGATATTTTTTGTAACTTTCAAGTTTTTATTTAACAAATGAAATTGTGGTATCATTAAAAACATAATCTTTAAATACATAGTTTTCTTTTACAATCACAACAAGTAATTCTTATACGCACACTCGACATTTATAATTGAAATAGTCAAATAACGAGCATAAAACACGAATCAGTTTGAATGACGACGAACTCGTGGTACACTTTGCAGATACGTGACTGGCTCACGGCTAAAGAAGACATGATACGCCAACAGGTTGTCGTGGTCGGCGATGTCGACAACATCCTCCAGCTCATCGACAAACAAAAGGTCAGTCCCTCTATTGTTTTCGTCAACCCCGTTCGTGTTTTTGTTGATTTTTTTTTTCTACTCCCCCCTCCCCCAAGCAACGAACAGTCAAGTTTGATGAAGCATCTATTAAACACTCGATTCGAAGCACCTATAGTTTCAGAGCACCTTATTGTTCGCGTCGGCAGTATAGATCTTGCATAAAATAAAGTTCACGTACTTTGCTCGCATCTGGGTACCGAACACGAGAAGTTCTTTCTTTAGAAAGAAAAAAAAAAAAAAAAAATGAGCTAATGACTTGTTTTTCATTCGACCAGTAAAGAGACCCCCTCGAAGACAAAGCTCCAGGGGGGCGGTGTTTATGTAAATTTGTAATCTCGTCGTCGTTTGGCATTCAAATCAAGAGATTCAGTCAGGCCGATATTTATGCATGAGCCAAACTCGCGAATGGTGTGCGTGAAAGCGACTGCACTTGCTGTTGTGGGTAACTCGGTGACCTGCCACGGTCTTTTTTACCCTTACCAGGGGTAGACGTTACCGACAAAAGCAGGGGTAAGCGACCGACCCTCCTCCTGTAGCCGACTAGGGGGACTGCTCTGTTTTCCGCTGTCGATCAGAAATGTGAATCGATTTTTTTTTTTCAATCGATTAATGTACCAAAGATAAACGAAAAAAAAATACGCCATGATAAATTGTCCAGTCGTGACTTTCAAATGTTTTTTCCTCGACTCACGTGCACCCAATCGCGAAATCAAAGGAATACAAAATACGTAACGCGTGTACCAGTTTGTCGACTGCAGATGAAACGTGCCGAGTGTGCATTAGAAATTCAAATTTTCTCGATTTAGAGGTACCGAGCGTGCGCACGTAGATTAAATTGCAAAAACTTGGCGTAGCAAAAGACGTCGATGTATCACGAGCGCCTTTGAAGAACAAAAAAAAAAAAAAAAAAAAAAAAAAAAATAGTGGCGCGCCAGCTGTGCAAAAATATGCGGACCAGCCGAGAGTTGCGTCTTGGTGTATGTAAATGACCGGACGTATCGTTTATTCGTTGAGCCCTTTTTTTCACGCAACGTGCATGCACAGCGAGCCGAGGGAAGGTGGAAAGTGCACGAAGCGTGAAAAGCAAGGAGCAAGTGACCCCAGATGACTGAGATGTGAATAAATGATGCGTAGGTGCAGGGGGTGGACGCTCAAAAAGGTCCGGAGAGGATGCGAAGCGAGTTTTAATATTGGATGCTCAGGGGCCAAAGGGTTGTCGTGTCGTGTGTACGTGCAGTAGGGATTGATTCGCTCGCAGTTTCGTTAAACTTTTAGTAGCTCGAGGCTCTTGTTTATTTTACTCGATATTAAGGGATAGGTGCGCGATGCGGAATCTGTTTGATCGTCCCTCGTTTGTACATTTTTAATATGTTGCGATTGCATCCTGTGCTGGGCTCTCTAGGCTTTTTATATTAATTTTTACCTCAACGATGGCAAATAACAAAGTTTTTTAATCAACAAAAAATATTTTTATAGATTACAAAAAAAAAACGCTGTAACTTTTTTGTCATAGGTGTTTAAAATTTACGGGGAAAAAATTATAAAAGCTTCGTCACGAATACTTACAATACACGTACTAAAAATGGAAATTTATTATTTTTTTGCCGAAAGTTAATCAACGAATTAAAAAGAAAATTGCACCTTGCGTCCAGACTACAGTTATTACACAACAACATACTATATGTCGAGTACAGTACGAAGATAATATTTTCTTCTTAAATTGAGGGGATATGCGTATCTCCCAACAAAGAAAAAAAAAAAAAATGCACTACTATGCGGTCTCGCGTCAGTACCTATACGACCACGTATGCCTGTGCCTACCGTCATTCCAAATGCGTAGAATTCCACGCGCTTTTCACAACATGCAGTGAATTCAAACGCACCGAGCCGTAAGCCCGATGTACATGATAGGCAACGAAGAGCCGTCGATACATCATACACGTACATCAGTCCGTCCATACGTATAGGCTCTAAATGGAACCATTAATTTCTCTGCGATGTGCTTTGATTGAGAAAACGAGGCTCCCCACACTACCCACACGCCCATTATACTCGCGTACAACAATCATGCCAGCATTGGCCTACGGGCTTATCGAAGGTACAATGGGCCGTGTTTTATTTCCACGCAGCCCCCACTCCCCCGTTGGTGTTGTTCCCCGACTATACGAACCGACGGACATAAAACAGCAGTATCGTGCCGACAACAGCAACAGTTAAGACTCCGGGAGCAATGTCAAATTACTCACCCGCACGCCGAAAAGGCAAAAGGTATTCGCGCACGAGAAACGAAAGGGGGATCGGCCGTTCCGCCGAACGAGCTCGGGACACGCGAACGAGACCTCTCTCTCTCTCTCGTAGCTCGTGCTGTATACCCACGTAGTTGTATCAACCGCGGCCTCTGTAGTTTGTCCTCTGGCGTTAATTACTCGGATTTTTGCTATCTCCTGAGGTGTAATATTTATTTTTATAAACCTCCTTTACAATGAAGTCGCGGGTACACCAACCAAACGAGCGGCCGTCTTCCTTCCTTCGTTCATTACTTCCTCTTCCGCGCGCGCCCCTCGCACATCATATACGTACATACACCAGGTCTCGGGAGCAACGGCGGATGAAAATGGACTTCATTTCCCCTCGACGTTCTTATCGCGCCTACGCGCCCTTTCCCCGGAATTTTCCGTCTCGTTAGGAACACACAGTCACAATGAGATCAACACCACCTCCCCCCCCTTCCATGCAGTTATATAACCTACCCTCTGGATTCCAGGGTATGATACGCTGGCTCTCTTCCTGGGAATTAACTAGCCGCCGGGACCTGGGCAGATGTTCTTCCGCTTCCTTTGAGTCTAAAGATCCGCCTGCTTTTGGCTCGTCGACTTTATTTATTTCCCCCCCCCCCTCCTCTCTTTTGACCTCGCTGCGTGTGTAGTTTCTCGAAAGGTCACGTGGCTGAATGAACTCTTTTATATTCTCCTGACCGATACAACTCGTTTTTTAATTGCAATCGGACGTAGACAACAGCAGCTGTTTGTACCTCAAGAGGAGTGAGAGAGAGAGAGAGGGAGGGGCGAGTTTTTCATTGCTGTTACTTGTTGGGGTGATGGTGGTGGGGGTGGAATCGGTTTACGAGGGCAATTAGAGGGCTCTTTGCCCTACGCGGAGACATTACACGGCCATTAGCCAGGACTCGGGCAGAGCCCGTGCTTTTGAAGGGCCGAGACCCTCTCGCAGTCCACCCGAGTTGGTGGGGTTCTTTCTTTCTTGGATTCTTTTGTTTTTGCTCTACCTGTTTAAACAACGCCAGGAATAATTTACCTTCGGAGTCAGTTTTCGTATCATTATCCTTTCCATTCGAGCGCGGGTGGTCGTTTGGAGCTTTTTTACACCTGTACCTGTACTGAATATACATAGGTGTAACGCCCTGGCGTAAGTCCAAGTATTGTTTTCTTCTTCTCCGTCGTTGGATGCAAAAATTCATGACTCGTAAAATTTTGGAGGTCGCGTGCCGCGAAAACAAAATTTTACGGACCATCCCCGTTAAATTTTCTCGGTATGATATTTACTCCCTTTTTTTTTACGGGATACGTTGTTTCCGTGTCGATTCCTCGCGCAATCACATTTCCAGCACCAAAATCACCGGAGAGCGAGCTAACGAAGATTAATCATTGGGCGTGGAAATAATTAACCGGCGCAGTTAGCAGTCGATCTCGAAAATTAGATTGCTCGGGCAGTAGGTACAAGTTCATTGAGACTGCAAACTGTTCATTGTAATCGCCACGATGGCTGGAAAATTAAATTTTTATTGCAACCTTTTATTTCAATACATTTTGTTTCATTACTAAACAAGTGTCTCCGGCGTGACTAATGAAAAATGTAACATTGTACTTTCGTACAAGTTGCCCCTCTCGAAAGCTCGTTTACCAAAGTACACGCAACTCACGGCTTGTCCATACCAAATCCAACGAGCACAGATCCCAAAGCAATCCAAAATGCATCCTGTACCACCACCACTACCGGTCTTTGCATTTCGTACAGCACACACACACACACACACACACACACACACACTCAGCCAACTTTGGCTCCCGTTCGTCAAACAATCCGACAAAAGACGGCTCCATCCCCCTTTGGAGGAAAACGGGCACATCCACATGAACACGTATACCTCGGCAGACTGCACATAATGAAGATCGATGTTTTCGTCCTTGTATACTCGTGGGATTCCACACACATGCATCAACGGCAATTGCACGCACGTGGATTCCCGAAGCGTCTTGAGCCACCAGTCGTGCGTGCATCGGTATATTACGGTGTAGTAACACACGGGCCACAGACAGACAGACGTACACAGCACACGCTACTGCCTATCGATTACCCGAGCGAGAGAGAGTGAGTCCACCCACCCATTCGCTAGTTCCGCGCGGGCGATCGACCCCCCCCCCCCCTAACTACGTACACGTACGTGTACCTACATCGGCATAGCAAGAGGAAAGTTCTACTAGCTCTGCATGCGAGCCACGCCATTCGAGAGCAAATCGCCTGCGTTACTGTATTCCGCGCCTTACCCACCGTGTGAGGGTGTGCATGCTTCTGGCTGGGTGATTTCGTCTCTCTTTTTTTTTTTTTTTTAACGTAGGTGTGCGTCGAGCCGAGCAAGAAATTGCCCTTTCTCTCGTGTCAGGTATTCTGAGTTTTTTGGACAGATACCCCGCTTTGCACGTAAGAGAGCGAGGGGAGAAATGTTTACGCGATATTCCGAATTTGGTGTGCCATTTGCATATACACGGCTAAGCTTCCGCGCGGGGGTGCAGTTTTGCCGTCGAATTAGCGATATCTCTAGCGTATACTTTAGGCAGCTTTTTGTTTTTTCTCTCTCTTTTTTTTTTTTTTTTTTTTTTTGTTTTTTTCGCTTAGGGAATGGATATTTAACGCGCGTTTCGCATTCATTGGTATGGTTTTACTTTGCGAGTTCCCTTGCCTGTACGCGTTTCTAAAATTCCATTCCACATCACGAGTATCGAGAAATTGAAATTCAATCCAAACTACCTTCGTGGAGAGATCACCTGTCCGATAATTCATACGCAACCAACGTGAAATGTATTCCGCTGTCGATGCTACATGCTGAAAATAACTCGGGCACAATGTTGCACTCGTTACCCTGAGGTACGCGCCTCAAATAATAAACAATCCAATTCATACGAATCATCCAGCTTTTCTAAAAATCTCCGAAAAGCCTCTCGTTGAAATTCCAACGAGTAATCTCTGTTGTTCCCTCCGTCTCCTCGAAACAACCTTAAATCAGTTATCGTGTATACCGTAGCTTTTTTTTTTTTTTTTTTTTTTTTTTTTTTTTTTTTTTTTTTTTTTT